CTGCAACAAGCCAGGATCCTCTGTCCTCCACTATCTCCTGGAGTTTGCTCAAATTCATGTCCATTGAGTTGGTGATGCTATCTAACCATCTCTTCTTCTGCTGCCCCCTTCTCCTTTTGCCTTCAATCTTTCCCAGGATCAGGGTCTTTCCCAATGAGTTAGCTCCTCGCATCAGGTGGCCAAAGTATTGGAGTTTCAGCTTCAGCAACAGCCCCTCCAATGAATATTCAGGGTTGATTTTCTTTAGGATTGACTGGTTTGACCTCCTAGCTGTTCAAGAGTTCAAGACTCTCGAAAGTCTTCTCCAGCACCATAATACGAAAGCATCAATTTTTTGGCATTCACCCTTCTTTATGGTCCAGTTTTCACATCTGTACATGACTACCAGAAAAACCAAAGCTTTGACCATATGGAATTTGTCAGTAAAGTGATGCCTCTGCTTTTTACTATACTGTCTAGGTTTGTCATAGTTTTCTTTTCAAGAAGCAAATGTCTTTTAATTTTATGACTGCAGTCAGCATACACAGTGATTTCAGAGCCAACGAAAATACCATAAACATAAAAATTCTTTAGTTACTTAAGGACTAATTAAATAATAAATAACTGCTAGATATAGGATTCAAGACAGACACAGATATGTTAATTTTCATTTTTAATATGTTACCCTTCATAGTCAGAGTAAGAAATCACGTAAAAACTTCCTATTCCACATTAATCACAGACACTGAGTCTAAATAATCCCACATTCCAAATCTAAGCACTCCAAATTAATGCTGCTTTACTGTAATTCAGAGGTCAGAAAACTACTTCTATAAAAGGTCAGATTGCACATATATTTTAGGTGTGCTTAACCCTGCTCTCATAGCATAAGAACAGCCAATGTGTAGACCATGCACAAGGCAGTCGTCTTTCAATAAAATATTATGTATGGACACTGATATGTGAATTTCATACCTTTTTCTAGCATCATGAAATTTGTTTTCTTTTTCATGTTTTTAATCATTTACAAAATGGGAATAGGAAACATCTTTAGTTTGTGAACGATACAAAAACAGGTAGTGTGCAGGACTCAACTCATGGGCCGCAGCATGCCTCCTCTGCCGTAATTATATACTTGGGGAAAGAACATGGTAAGGTAGGAAGTCTGCAACTGGCAGATACCCCCTGGGAATTTCACTAGCTGCTTGTTGCATTCATCTTCTTGTACTGTGTCCACCTACCACTCTCCTGGGGCTTTCACCACAAACCAGGGAACCCCCCTTCTCAGTCCCTGACACCTTGAGGACACAGTGCCAGTGGCAGGCACAGGCCTGGAGTTGCTGGCAAGGCCCATAGGGCTGTGGGGAAGGGTGAATCCTGGAGGGCGGTGGGAGGCCAGCCATCAGGTTCAGACCCACGTCCTCAACCTGACCTCTCTCCAAAGAACTGTCTTTGGGGATATCTCATTCTGTTTACAAACAATAACTTCCAGAGACTTCCCAACTGAAACCTGGGGGCCCAAGGATGTCTAAGAATTTCCCTGATCTGGTTAAGACTCCCACCTGCAGCCATTGGAATTGCTGAAAGTTTTATTTTCATTATAGGTTTAAAGGATTTGTTAACAAAAGAAACCACTCATTATATACAAATAAAACAATTTCAGTTTCTTATAGAATATTGGTTGTCTGAGGAAACCTTACAAAACTGTTGAGGAGGCCTTACAAATAGTTGAGAAAAGAAGAGAAGTGAAAGGCAAAGAAGAAAAGGAAAGATATATCCATCTGAATACAGAGTTCCAAAGAATAGCAAGGAGACATAAGAAAGCCTTCCTAAATGAACAAAGCAAAGAAATAGAGGAAAACAATAGAATGGGGAAGACTAGAGATCTCTTCAAGAAAATTTGAGATCCAAGGGAACACTTCATGCAAAGATGGGCACAATAAAGGATAGAAATGGTATGGACCTAACAGAAGCAGAAGATATTAAGAAAAGGTGGCAAGATTACACAGAAGAGCTATAAAAAAAAGATTTTAATGACCCAGAAAACCATGATGGTGTGATCACTCACCTAGAAACAGATATCCTGGAGTGCGAATTCAAGTGGGCCTTAGGAAGCATCACTATGAACAAAGCTAGTGGAGGTGATGGAATTCCAGCTGAGCTATTTTAAATCCTAGAAGATGATGCTGTGAAAGTGATGCACTCAATACACCAGCAAATTTGGAAAATTCACTAATGGCCAAAGGTCAGTTTTCATTCCAATCCCAAAGAAGGGCAATGCCAAAGAATGTTCAAACTAGCACACAACTGCACTCATTTCACACACTAGCAAAGTAATGCTCAAAATTCTCCATGCTAGGCTTCAACAGTATGTGAATCAAGAACTCCCATATGTTCAAGCTGGATTTAGAAAAAGAAGAGGAACCAGAGATCAAGTTTCCAGTATCCACTGGATCACAGAAAAAACAAGAGAATTCCAGAAAAATAACTACTTCTGCTTTATTGACTATGCCAAAGCCTTTGACTGTGTGGATCACGAGAAACACTGGAAAACTCTTCAAGAGATGGGAATATTAGGCCACCTTACCTACCTCCTGAGAAATCTGTATACAGGTCAAGAAGCAACAGTTAGAACTGGACATGGAACAACAGACTGGTTCAAAATTGGGAAAGGAGTACATCAAGACTGTATATTGTCACTTTGCTTATTTAACTAAGATGCAGAGTACATCATGTGAAATGCCAGGCTGGATGAAGCACAAGCTGGAATCAAGATTGCAGGGAGAAACACCAATAAACTCAGACATGCAGATGACACCACCCTTATGGCAGAAAGTGAAGAAGAACTGAAGAGCCTCTTGATGAAGGTGAAAGAGGAGAGTGAAAAAGTTGGCTTAAAACTCAACATCCAAAAACAAAGATCATGGCATCTGGTCCCATCACTTCATGGCAAATAGATGGGGAAACAGTGGAAACAGTGACAGACTTTATTCTGGGGGGCTCCAAAATCACCGCAGATGGTGACTGCAGCCATGAAATTAAAAGATACTCCTTGGAAGAAAAGCTATGACAAACCTAGGTAGTGTATTAAAAAGTAGAGACATTACTTGCTGGCAAAGGTCCATATAGTCAAAGCTATGGTTTTTCCAGTAGTCATGTTTGGATGTGAGAGTTGGATCATAAATAAAGCTGAGTACCAAAGAACTGATGCTTTTGAACTGTGGTGTTGGAGAAGACTCTTGAGAGTCCCTTGGACTGCAAGGAAATCAAACCAGTCAATCCTAAAGGAAATCAACCCTGGCTATTCATTGGAAGGACTGATGCTAAAGCGGAAACTCCAATACTTTGGCCACATGATGGGAAGAATTGACTCATTTGAAAAGACCCTGATGCTGGGAAAGAGTGAAGGCAGGAGAAGGGGACGACAGAGGATGAGATTGTTGGATGGTATCACCGACTTGATGGACATGAGTTTGAACAAGCTCCAGGAGTTGGTGATGGACAGGGAGGCCTGGCGTGCTGCAGTCCATGGAGTCGCAGTCAGACATGACTGAACTGAAGTGATAGAAGATTATTGTTTTTGTTCAGTCGCTCAGTCATGTCTGACTCTTTGCACCCCCATGGACTGCAGCAAGCCAGGCTCCTTTGTCCTCCACTGTTTCTCAGAGTTTGCTCAAATTCATGTCCGTTGAGTCAGTGATGTTATTTAACCATCCCATCCTCTGTTTCCCCCTTCTCCTCTTGCCTATGGACTTTCCCATCATCAAAGTCTCTTCCAATGAGTTGGCTCTTCCCATCAAGGGGCCCAAGGTATTGGGAGTTTCACCTTCAGCATCAGTCTTTCCAGTGACAATTCAGGGTTGATTTCCTTCAGGAGTGACTTACTTAATCTTCTTGCATTTCAAGGAACTCTCAGGAGTCTTCGAAAGCATCAGTTCTTCAGTGCTCAGCTTTCTTTGTGGTCCAACTCTCACATCCGTACATGACTACTGGAAACCATAGCTTTGACTATACAGACCTTTGTCAGCAAAGGGATGTCTCTGCTTTTTATAGAAGATTATTTGACTTAATGTCAATATACAGTCATCAGAGGAAGGGAAATAGAAACAATAGAGAAAAGTAAGCACAAATATCATCAAAATGCACTGACAACTTATATCCAGACTTGAACAGCAATGGCAAGTCCCTGGTTATGAGCAATCTGCAGTCCCAGTTCAGAAAAGGTCCCAGGCTGTATGTCCACTCCATGGGTGAGACTTCAAATTGTAGTTTGGGGGCCTCCTGCTTATAATCCCAGACCACAAACTGATATAATCATCATTTTGTGCCCTCAAAATACAGCCTTGGTTTTACTTTAACTTTTACAATGGTGTTTGTTTCACCTTGTGAGTCATAGGATTTCATAAGACCTGGGGGGTAGGCCAGGCCCTTACGGGTTTAAGCGATTCCAAGACCCACTCCTTTTCCTATCTAAAGTGCTGCCTGACTTGCTGTGCTTGCAGGATGGCAAAGCATCCCAGTAGTCTCCAAGCAGCTCAGAAACAAGGAAAGGTCTGCTCTCCTGCTTCTAAAAACTGAAAACTTCTTCCATTTTAATTTCCCTAACAGTTGGCCTCAGGATTGTTTAGGCTGAAGAGCATAGGAATAAGGCAAAATAACATGAGCAGTCTTCTTAATTCTCTAACTCAAATAACAGTTCCAGATAGTCCATAGAAATAAAGTGATCAAAGAAACAAGTAATGGGATAAACAATGCAGAAAACAATTTTTGAGCAGTAGGGGATTTAGTATCGAAAAAGTCCCGCCACACATGAGAAGTATGCTCTTGTATATCAGCTCCTACATGCGTCAACTTATGGGTAGCAATAATAGTAACAAGAGGGTGTTCTATCAAGTTACAATTAGGTTTATCTATGAAACTTTGTAACTGTTTGGTTCCTTACAAATATTAAGTAAGGTTTCTAAGAGAAAACTAATATTGGGAACAGAAAGAGTAGGGAATAACATTTGAGTTCACAATACCTGAGTTCTCATGGACAGAAAGTAATAGGTGGTCCCCTTCCAATATAAAGGATCAACATGTGTCCGTCATCAGAAAAAGTGGTTTCTACCTGATAGGAAAAAACCGTTTCTACATTATTGTTTACAATACATAAAAATTGAGGGGCCATTTTCAAAAAACAATGTAGTATAGGATTTAGGGAAGATAGTCCATTCACAAGAGTTGATGGAGTTCTCCAGTGAGCAGGATTCCCAAATGCGAGACATTGGTCCACACCGCAGTCCCTTGGTAAACCCCGTCACAATCCAACAGCCAATGACTGTGGCCATCAAAGCCCAAATAACTCCCAGTGAAATGAGGCGACCAATGTTCTTCTCCACATACAGGAGGAAACACATGACACTGGCACGTGATGCTGTGCTGACTCTACCATAATGATAGAGCGCTACTGGGCACCAGGCGTTAGTGCACTCTGTAATGCCATTGAGGATAAGCACTCAATGCCTGGTAGGAATCCATTCTCTAAATAAGTTTTGCCATGCACACACATTAGTTGGCACGACACGGGGTTATTCTTTCGAGCAATGTAATATAATAGATGCTTAGAACAAACAGTCCAATCAAATATGTCAATTAATGACTTAGTTTTGTGGAGCTGGAATATTACTGAGTCATTGAACAACTGTAAAAAAGTGTTATAAATCAAGCTGAGGTCATGGGGCTTTAACATTATAGGCATCCATTTAGCACTGATAGTTAAGGCTTGAGCAATATCTTTACCAGTGTTGTCTAATCTAGCAAATAGATAAATTTTGTCTACAGAATGTCAAGGTTAAGAAAAGACAGGCTTTGTTTGCTGGGCAGGTGAACTTATCCTGAGTTTGAGTCCAAATTGTGTTTCTCCAGCTGTAGATTCCTCAGTAGCTTTCTTCATAGTTTTCTTTTAAGTTTAACACATCCTTGAAGGTTGAGGCATGAATGACAATCCACATTACAGTCAGAATTCCAAGAATAGTCCATTCACGAGAGTAACAGTGACTGATGACACATATTTCCATGCTTCCTGTCCAGGAATCATTAATACAGTCTTATCCATTCCCTGCACAGTGACACCAGTGGGTCCAGGAGGACCGCTAGGTCTGGCTGAAGCTGCTTCACCCAGACTTTAGCTCCAACTGCATGTATTTAATTTGCAGATCCAAACCCTACATCACCTCTAACTGCTAGATAGGTTGGAAATTCTCCTTTTTCTACTTTGCCAATTACACATAGAAGAACCAGAAATTGGGCAATTAGATCATGTTTAGTAATAAATAGATCATCCTTTCCTTTATTCTGTTGAATTACTCAAATTTCTCTGTGGTAGTCTGGGTCTATAACTCCACCATGGACACAGATCCCTTTGAAAACTGAACTGGAGCATTCTTTGATTAATCCAAAGTGTCCGGGAGGCATTTTAATTCTGATACCAATTGAAACAGCAGACATCAATCTTTTAATAGGTCTGTGTTCAGATACAGATACAAATCTAGTCCTGCGACCTCAGGAGTAGTCCAGAAAAGAGAGAGTGCCCTGGGCTAATTTCAAAATACTCAGTTGTCTCAGGATAGAAGTCTATTTTATGAATCTGTCAGTTTGGAATAATCATTCTCATCAAATGAGTTTCTGATTCTCCTGTAAGTCTATTATATAAAATGTTGAAGGCAGTATTCAAGTTAGTCCTCCAGTTTTTATAAGAGCCCTCTTCAAGTTTAATTGATTGTTTAAGCAAAATATTCATTCTTTCAATCAAGCCAGCAGCCTGAGAATAATAATATGAAAGATCCATTGTGCATTATGTTAATGGGCAAATGCTTGTATAAACTTACCTTTAAAATATGACCCCTTGTCACCTTGAATATAAAGTAGAACACAATATAAATTAATTATTTCCAACGTTTTAATGGTATTAGTCTGATTGCCTTTCCCAAAATGAATCACCACTGAATATCCAGAATAGGAGTCCATAGCAGTACACACATATTGGCATCGTTTATTTTGAATTAATGGACCAATATAATCAACTTGTCATATCTGCGCAGGCAGCCTGCCATGTGCCAATTGTCCTTCGACTAATATGCCAAGCTTCTCTGCTTAATATGTTGACAAACTGGACGTTGTAAAATAATAGATTCAATGAGATCCATAGGTAAGGAAATACCTTAATCCTGAGCCCACCTGTATGTTGCTTTTGTTCCCAGCTGGCCACATTTTTGGTGTGCCCACAAGTCAAACCTTTTAAGTCACTGGAGTGTGGATCAACTTCTACTGCTTGGATATGGGTTTGTTCATGTGTAATAGAGATAGGGCATCGTTCATAGAATTTGGAAGACTGAGAGAATCTACTGAAAGATTAGTAGCTCAAACAATTCCCAAATGTCAGACCATAATTCCTTTCCACATCATTCTCTGGAGTGAATTTGCCAGTTATTCTTTACCCAAAGGGGAAGCCAAGTAGCCAATCCATTGGCTACCAACCAAGAATATGTATATGTGGCATTCAGTTAAACTCTCTTGCTTAATACCTGGTGAATAGAATATAATTCGGCAAATTGGTTACTTTTACCTTCCCCAGTACTTGGCAGCAATTTAGTAGTGACAGAATTATTTGCAACAACTTTTCAATAGCAAGTGCATGCTATATATTTACTGATCCATCAGTAAATCATGCATGCTGTTTTTCTTGTACAGTTAAAAGAGTCAAATGACTTTCCCCATTTTACAGGTGATTCAGATAAATAGCTCATGCTTAATTATACCCTCTTGCTCCAGGCCTTCCATAGAAATCCTTTCATGTAAGACAGCGACCCCATGTGGTTCAGGTTTGGCTTGGTCCTAAATACAACATTTTCACTTGATTATGCTGGACTCCTGGGCTTGCTGAATGCTGTAGGTTTGGGGCGAACTTTGTACCCATTGCATGATTGTCGCTTGAGGTCTTAATATTATAGTATAATTTATAATCAAATGTTACATATCAATCAGAGCCCAGTAACAAGCCAATACTTGTTTTTCAAAGGTAGTGTCATTTCTCTCTGCCTCTCAGAATTTCCTACTCCAGAAGCCCAAAGGAACTCTCTCCACCTTGTGTTTTTGCCACAAGATCCGTTAGCATACAATTCTCTTACAACACACAAAATTCTACAGCACTGGGTTGTACTGGCCAGAAGTCTAAAGCATGTTGAAATGGACTTTTAGTGGCATCAAAAGTCTATTATCATTAATCACACCACTGAAATTCGTTATCTATTCCTAGCTACTTTGTAAAGCAGATTCAGTATCTGACCCAAATGTGGAATACGCCGTAGCCAGAGACCAAAGAGCCCTATAAATTTCTGAGCCACCTTTTTTTGTCTGGGGAGTTTTAAATTCCATTGTCTATTGTCTATCTGTAGGTAAAATCTCTCTATGTCCTTTAACCCATTGTATCCCCTAAACTTTACAGTCAGACTCCCTCAAAGCTGTTACACCTCTGTGTCCTTATGTGTTTTGCTCATTTTTGGAAAGGATTGAAGAGGCCATTCTTTCCATTCCCCTGCCTCCAGAAGTGTGTTTTCCCACACTGAGTTATTCCTATCTTGCAAATTATCCAGGAAAGATTAGGCGGAATGCTAGGACAGAAAGCTCAGCTTTCTGTGTTTCTCAGAAGCAAGGAGCAGGGACCCTTGGAGGGGATTTGCCAGGAGTCGCCCTGGTATTCTGCGATCACTGAGGAGCCCCTGTGTCTGCGGGGGCCTCCTCTTTGAGAGTAAGAAGCCCTGAGAGGTCGCATTCACGTAGATCCTCCACAGATGGCGATGCAGTGGGAGGACTGAAGTGAAGTCACCATCAACTGCACGTTAACTGCAGGCACCATAACCCAGGCGGAGAATCAGGCAGCTGGAGCAGGGGATGGGGCAAAGGACTTCATCGTCCTGACCTCTAGGAATCTCCCTCAAGGACACCTAGGATCCCATCCTTAGAGAACAGGACCCTCAGGCTAGCTCAGACCTTGGCCATTAGGACTGGGGCGTCATCAAGTGCTGCATTTTGAGTTCTTCAAAGAGGTCTGTGGACCGTACTACTCCCTTCTCCAGGTTACAGCCCCTCTCACCCCGGGGAGGTGATCTTGCAGGACACCATAATCTACTTGCATCCACATTGGAACCCACAGCCACGAGCAGTGGGGGGAGGGGTGCCACCCATCCTGAGGTGCCAAGGCAGCTGAGCACCATTCCGACTGCCTTTTCAGGGCCAAAGACGAGGCTGCAAGCGCTTACTGCCCCCTGCCTTCTGGTAACTCACCCTCTTGCTGAGTTCTGCTCCCCTCCCCAGCCTCTGACCAGGCAGTAAGAGTCCTTAGTTGTGCCAACCAGGTGGTATTGTTTGCACTGATCCCCAGTTTGGGGTGAAAAACGTGATTTTTAGCAGGGAGCTTGAGTTTAATATGATCTTTCTCACCCCTCTCCTTTGCTTTACAATGAAGAGCTCTGGAACCCTCTCTGGGAACCTCGTTTTTGCACAGTCGGATCCCCAAGTGACACTGTTGTAGGGACCTGTGCAAGGGTCTCCTGGGGGTGTGTCCTGGGCACCTGACCAGAGAGGAGGGAGCGACTGGGCCCTCCCCAAGATCATTGACTGAAGGGCACGTCCAGAGCTGGAGGAATTAACGTGGCACCACGGAAAACGAGGGGGAAAGAGCTGGCTTTGACTCCTACGGGAGGAGGGGCGGGGGAGCCAGTCCCGCTGACTCCTGATTGGTTTTACATTTCATCCAGAATTTTTTTCTCTCCTCTCTTGCTCTCTCTTTTCAGTTTCTCTCTCTGATCCCAGGGGAGGGGAAACGGGAATAGTGAGAGATCAAAAATAAACCTCTTATGTCAAAGCCGGGAAGGAAGTATAAATACGAAGAGCTCGGCAGCCCACTCGGTGCTTCCCGGGGTGTGGAGGAGGCGGGCGTGAAGGGCGCGCACGCGGCCAGGGCGCCAGCTGCTGCAGCTCCACTGGCCGGGCGGGCGCGAGCCGGAGAGGCTGCCTGGGGACCGCCGCCGCTAGACGCCCACCGGACACACGCCCGGCCAGCCGCCTTGCGCCTGGAGCCCGATGACAGCTTCCTGGCGCCGGAGTTCAAGATCGCGCGCCTCGGGGGCTCCGGCGGGGCGGCCGGGCGCGAGAGGGAGCTGCGCGGCTGCATCTTCTCGGGCACGGTGAACCGGGACCCCGAGTCGCTGGCGGCCGTCAGCCTCTGCCGCGGGCTGAGCGGCACCTTCCTGCTGGAAGGCCAGGAGTTCACCATCAAGCCCCAAGGCGCTGGGCGCTCCCTGCATCAGCCACACCTCCTGCAGCGCTGGGGGCACGCGCCCCCCGCCACGGCAGCCCAGCCCCTGTCCAGAGCGTCTGAGAGGGAGGCGCAGACGGGAGAGGGTGAGAGGCAAGAGAGGAGAGCCGGCACAGCGGAGGAGGAGGAAACGGAGAAACAGGAGGACGACGAAGAGGGCCAAGAAGAGGAGGCAGAAAGTTCCAGCGAGCCACCACCAACCCTGGGGGCCAAGAGCAGGACCAAACGGTTTGTGTCGGAGGACCGCTTTGTGGAAATGCTGCTGGTGGCCGATGCATCCATGGCTGCTTTCTACGGAGAGGATCTAGAGGTAAGACTTGCTGTGCAGGCGTATCCTGATCACCTCCCAGAGTCTCCAAATTGTTCCCTTTCCTGTCCCTCTGAGAAAATCCTTCCGCTCCTCACCCCAAACAGGCTCCCCTCCTTTCTGAGAACGGGAAGTAACTCTTTTCATGACCTCTGACACCCAGGAGACCACCTGCTCCTGCCACTACCTCCCTTCTGATTGGAGGGGAGGCCCTGGGCCCCCTTCTCCATGTCCACCCCCATCCCACACATGCTGAACTGAAAGTGGGTTTTAAAGCACCCCCACCTCAGACACCTGCCTCTCCCAGCAGAGATGATGAGTGAGCATTTGGGAAGAGCATCTACCCCAGGCCCCATTTCTCAGCCCCCTACTGTTTCCAGACCTGAGGGGCTCCCAAGGAAAGGCCACTGGGATGCAGAGGTGTCCTTTGCCTGCAGAACTGAGGCGGCCTTAAGTAAAAGACATTGTTTGCAGGGAGTTGAGGCTGGAAAGGGGCTGCCCAACTTCTGTGCGCCCAGCTGGTTCTGATCAGGGGCACAGATACCTTGCCAACCTGGCGCTCAGCCCTGGCAGAACTTGGCAGCACCGGCGTCAGCACGAGAAGGGAGGGGAACAGAATTTCTGCCTGGGGACTCAGCCCAGGAACCTGAACCTTCAGGGGAGAGGGAAGGAGAAGACGATGGGGATCTGACCTCCTGTGGTGAGTGTTCCTGGTGGAGCCAGAACTATTCTCAGCCCACCTGAGCTGCCCTCCACCCCGACACAGCTCTCTACTGAGCTGGGGCAGGGCACTGAGTCCAGGGGACAGCTCCTGCAGCCAGGCCGATTCCAACTAGATTCCTGATGCTGCAGACTCAGCAGGACTTGTGTGTGTCACCCTACACCCCAGCACCTCCTCCAAGGACCAGGTGAAGCAGAAGGCTCCAGGCGAGGCTGCACGTTCTCTTATCCTGGGAGCGCAGAACCAGAGATGTGCCCCATGGAGGACTGACCTCCCCAGAAGGCACCGATTCCTGAAACGGGCACCCTGGCCGCAGCTGCGGCTCAGTTGCTGCCATTTTGGTGATGGCAGTCTTGGCTATCATCCTATTCTAGCCTCAGCCTGTGCCCAGCTGATGCCTGCCTCGAGGGCTTTGGCACCACCTGTGCACAACAGTCTACATGAGGCACGGTGGACCCTTCTATTTCTTGCCCCAGCTTTCGCAGTCTGTCAGTCACTGGGAAATGCATTCTAGGTGCAAAGGTGGGAAGAACTGGGGGTGAAAGGCCCACGTGGCTGCTTCCCTGGGAGCTGCCAGGGTGGTTCAAACCGTCTGTGTGTTGGCAGTGTTGGCAGTGTTGGCAGTCTGTGTATTCACTCCTCCCAGAGCTTGGGATGGCAGCTTTGACCCCGCAGCCCAGTTCTGCCCAAGGACTGTGGGTCTGCACTGACCAAGTATCTGCTTCCCGGCCTTCCAGGAGAGCAGGGGAAGGTGCCAGCCACCTCCTCTGACTCCTGCCCCAGCATGTCCTCCAGAGGGTGGCAGGTGGGGCTTCTCCCATCTCAGGTTGAGGACAGCCATACCTGGCTACCAGGGACCCTGGCAAAGTCCCTCCACCTCAAACCCAGAGTGCAGTGCTGAGCCCTCCCACACACAATTCCTTTCTGACAGCTGCCTGACAACCAGGAGTAGGAAAGCTCACAAGAATAGGGAGATGCAGTGGGAAAAGTCATTGCTTTTTGGTCTTTAGAGTCAAAATG